CACCTATGTTGGCCAAAGACCCTACTAATACCCATCAGGGGTATCAAGCGGACTATCACAGCTGGTTGGCACTAAGTGCGCGGCAGGCGCTTATGGGGCTCGAACCCACAACCTTCTGAATGCCACTTGCGGGCCTAACCAACAGAGCTATGGTAGTTTTTCAAGAGACCGAAGACGAGTTGAGCAAGGCTCACATCCATAATCAATGACGGTAGTGTTCAAGAGAGTGAAGACCAGTTGAGTGAGGCTCACATCCTGATATTGGAGGTTGCTCCTACCACCTCCACTAGCAGGTACTCTCGCGTCCATGATGGGACTGAGGGGGACCTGGTATAGCGGGTATTCCCATCTGGGACTGAGGGGGACCTGGTATAGCAGGTATTCCCATCTTGACCCAGTTATCAGGCGCAGAAAAAAACAGAGTAGCTAGTTGGATGAATTTGGGCGCTCCTGTAGTGGCCCATACATTTTTCATAGGATTTTGGCTTGTGCCCGTGGAAGTACTGTTTTTTTTTATATAACTAGGCTATATTCTTCCATCAAATCTTTCATCATCTTTCAAATTCTGTCAATTCTCCTTCACTACCTACCTACCACTACCCCTAAGGAGGCTTAGACAGAGGACCCCTGCAAACATAGCTTTGTTGTCTCCCTCCAGCCATCAGAGGGGATGCATGTTGCGCCCCTCCCCCCGTCTCCTCTCAAACCATGTTGGTCAAGCACGGGGTGGGGCCGCCGGTGGGGGTCCGGCTAAAGCAAAGACCGAGCATTTTGCCAGTAGCTGCGCCTCCCCTTTCATCGTCCCCCACCCCCAACCGAATAACAGCAGTGTCTAAGGCCAACACTCTCCCACACACCACACACAACCCACTCACACTCACACTCACACACACTCACACCCCTGTTGGTCAAGGACCCTTGCTAATACCGATCAGAGGTATCAAGCGGACTATCACGGCTGGTTGGCACTAAGTGCGCCGCAGGTTGTTGCGGGTGCGGGGCTCGACCCCACAACCTCCTGAAAGCCATTTGCGAGCCGAACCAACTGAGCTACTGGTGGTTTTCAATGGGGTACCCATGCAATTTTCCCAAGAAAGAAGACACAGTTGAGTGAGGCTCACATCCATGCTCCCTGCAACAAACCAGACGGACAAGTTCCTCCGAGCGAGGGACAACCCCCCCCCCTCTTTAAAAAAAAAAGAAAAGAAAAATCGGGCTTAGAAGGCAGGATCGGCATCAAGCAGAGTCTGCTATGTTCGTAGGGGAGGGGCCTGAGGGGAGGCACGGGGGATTGGTTCGCTTTATCCCTGGTGCTACCGGCCGTCCCCTGGCCGGTATCCTGCAGGCTCGAGGGGTCGTTAAAAAAAAACATGGCTCTGGTATGCTACGGGTTTCCCCGTATGCCTATAAGTTTTTTTTTTTTTTTTTTTTTTTTTTTTGGGAAAAAGCAAGGAATCCATTAACATAAAAATTGTCATGAGGCCGTGAATTCCTCACAAACAACCCGGAAAAAGAGCGTCACTGCTGGGACCAAATCCCAAAATCGGTACGTGGGTTTTATCCCAACAACACTAGGCAAAGCCGTAAACAAAATCCGAAGGTCCGACCCTCCGGGAAACAGCTAAGCAAAAAAACAACCACCCTTACAGTCAAACAATAAACAGGAGAAACCCCAAACAAAACACGAATCTATCCTAGCCTACCTACACAGGGTAAAACCCCCTCAAAAACCCGACTAACACGTCGGGGTGGAACTCCGTCCTCCTATACCTGGGCACTCTCCAACCCTCACATTCCATCGTTCTTCGTACTGCGGATATTACAACCGAGTGCACCTGGTTGATCCTACTCTAACCTACCCTCCCTTCCGTAACCACTCAAAGAATACCAAGGTGCGATCACCCTTGACAGTCACCAAGCTACCTCTGTCTCCCCACGTGTTGCCAAACCATCTTTTTCCTTTCTGTTTGTCAGATACTCTTTCCACCTTCCTCTTCCAGTCCGCTGCAATAGCATTCCGAATCTGCAGCTTGAACAGGTTTACCTGCTCCTTATCTGCCACGTCCTCTGAGTTGAATTCCAGTTTATTCCGACCGGACCAAATCACAGCAAAGCCGATCGCTCGTGTTACCTGGGCAATGTAGCCCCAGCCCTCTTCTAACTGAAGATTCTTCGGGATACCTCCGAGCAAGACCCACATTTTATCCCACTGGAAGGCATTGTTGGACAGCTTTGCCCGCATTTTTTACCACCATTTCCAAATATGGGCTGATGCTGGGCAATCCCACCATAGATGAACCGAGGACTCAAATGCCCACTGACATCTTTTACAGACGGTGTCTACATTCACACCTCTTTCCTTTAACCAGGTTGCTGAAGCAGTTGCCAACAGAGAAAGGAGCCACGGAGTGACCACCAATCTTTGAGAGGGCATCAGGTTCAGCTGTTGCCAGCATCGAAGGACCGCTTTCATCACTTGCTCTGGGTCTACCTGAAGGACTCTCACCCATCTATCTGCAGCCACCCTTCGGGGTTCTCTGGAAGAGTTCTGGAGTTTGTAGCCCAACTCCGCTGTATAATCCAGAACTGATAGGTCAGATCCTTCGGGCCCTCTGCCTCTCCACGTCCTCTGCTGGGGGTCGATTTTCCTTTCTGCAATCGGCTCTCCATTCACCCAGAGGGACACTGACCAGCTCCCCTCTTCATTGCACTGTTCCCTTACTCTCACCTGAGTCAGCACGGTTGGGAGTCTGATTGAAGGCAGTTCATCCCCTACCATCTCCAACCTGGTTGTGTTCCCACACGAGTGCCATTGTTCGAAAGACCTCCCGCCAGCTTCCTCATACCCAGTCAATTTCCATAACTCCTTCTTTTCTTGGGCCAGTTTGTCTGCATACCAAGTCCTTGGTGGGTCCAAGCTTCCAGGCTCCAGGATACGCTTCCATGCATCAGGAATAGCCTGAAGTACCTCTTGTAGCCGCTTTTCTTGCCCACTGTTATTCCGCATACCCAAGTCCTTTTCTTCTCTCCATCCTTGGCTAAACTCGTCCCACATATCCCTTACTCGTACCACCCCACTCGCTATCCAAGCTCTGCCAAAGCTACCCGGTTTCCTGTCTGCCGCCAGCCATCTTCCTTCCCTGTCCTTAATTAACGGATTTTCAAACAGGATTTGCAGGAGGACTTCCTGCTTGGTTACCGGTTCAGTGCATCTGTCCGGTTTGACCTTTTGCCAAGCTTTCAAAATCCATTTCCACAATTCTGACTTCACCGGCCTACGCAGGTACGACTCAATCCATATGCAGGCCCAAGAATCCTCCGTTCTGCTCAAATGCCAACTATCTGCCAGGAGCCTTTCAGCCAACCCTATCCAATGCACCTCACTGTTCTCCTCCAGCGCCTTGGGGACCCAGGCTGCAAGCATCGCTGTGTTTTGCTTCCCTGGGTCCTTCAGACCCAATCCACCTTCTTGTCTGCTGTGACAAACCGTATCCCATGCGACCTTCGTAATAAAACCTTCCGACTCCAAGCCATACGGTTTCCAAATGAATTTTGTTGCCCTCCTTTTTATAACCTTCCTAACCTTTGGGCCAAGCGGCTGCACTTTCCCCACGTACCAGAGGATTGCAAGTAGTGCTACATTGACTACCAATGCCCTTCCCATCAAGGAAAGGTGGGGGGCTTTCCCCCACGTAGCCATGCGGTTCAAGATTCTCTGCTGCAGGAGGCCATCCTGTTCTGCTGCACAGGACAAGAGGGAAACATGGACACCAAGAAACCATTCCGATTGATCTGCAGCAATCCTTCTCATCCCCCACTGCACCGTTAAGGTGTGGGGTTCCGGAAGTAGATACACCGATTTGGACCAGTTAATTGCTGCCTCCGAAAGTTCTTCGTACTCTCTCAGATGTTCCCTCAAGGCTTTCATTGAAGACTTGGTGTTCGCCACCACTGCAAATAAGTCGTCTGCCAAAGCTTTAACCCGACAATCTCTCCCTGTAGACGGGAGACCCTGAATTCTTTGCTCCGCCCGAATGTTGCATAGCACAGTTTCCAGGGGGGCAAGCGGACAACCCTGCCTCAAGGATCGTGATACACTGAAGTTCTTGGAGAGGTGTCTGCTGACCATCACCGACGCCGTGGACCGCGAATACATTCCAATAACCCAGGCGCAGAAGCACTCCCCGAAACCCAGCACCCTAAGCGTGGTCAAAACATATGACCACTTTCCCCGGTCATAAGTTTTTTCCATGTCTAACAAGAGAACCGCAAAATCGGGGTTGTACTCCTGCACCGTTTCCATTGCCTCCACTGCAGTAACAATATTCACAAAGATGGATCTGCCCCTAACGAAGGCCGCCTGGTCATTCGAAACTAACTCCGGAAGATACCTCCCAAGCCTCCTGGCCAGAATTTTTGCGAGTATCTTATAAGCCACATTCAAGAGTGAGATTGGCCGCCAATTGCGTATGTCACTCTTATCTCTTTTTTTAAACAACACGGAGATGATGCCATTACAAGCATTCTTTGGCAGTCTCCCACCCTGCAACATGTTGTTAAAGTTCTCCACAAGATCCTCGCCTAATACATGCCAAAAGGTCGAGTAGAACTCGACCGGAAGGCCGTCATCGCCATGAGCCTTCCCTTTCGCCATTGAGGCCAGCGTAGTTTTTGCTTCCTCAAACGTAATTGGGCGGTCTAGGTCCATCCTTCCGCACACAGGTAAGCGGACTTGCAAGTTCTGCCAATGATGGCTTGACTCTGAGAGGTCCGTATCAGGGCCTTCTTCTGGTCTTCTGGACGTCAAGATGTCTTGAAAGTACATGGCGGCATACCCGCATAGCTTATCCGGTTGCGACACCCTCGGCTCCATATCACTGAATGGATGAGCCAGCTCCTTCATTGGTTGTGACGTTTTCGTGGGCAACAGCCGTTGGAAAGACTCCTTAGACATTCTGTCATAAACCACAATATTCTTGACCTTCAGCCTTTCTGCCCACACTTCAGCCTTCTCTGCCTGAAAACTATCTCATTCCTCAAGCCTCCTTTGTCTTACCTTGCCCCACACTCCCTCCGAAATTGGGTGTTCTTTCATTCTTTGCTCTGCATACTCCACTCTCCTCTTATACACCCCCTCCTCCTTGTTTCGCTCCGGTGCAGCTACTCTCGAAAACACAGAGAGCAGTTTGAACATGATTCTAGTGCCAACTTCCCACCAATCAGCAAGGGACTCGATCTGCTCCTTTCTGGCCGACCACCTTACCCAGTAGTTGCAGACCCAGTCCCGAAGCACTGGGTCTGAGAGATTCTCCGTATTTAACCGAAAGTATCCCTTCCCTCTACTGAAATTCTCCCCTATGCAGAACTTCGCCACTACCGGATTGTGGTCTGATAACGGAACATTCGGGCACTCTATTGACACCAAAGAATCAAGACCTGCTTTGTTTGTGAGCAGGAAATCCAGTCTGTTACGGACTTCGCCAGGGCTCGATCCCTGGTCTATCTTTTGCTGTTTCGGCTGCATCCCGTTTTCGGCCTGGCACCCTTTTTCTAAACCCCTCCTTTGGTACCGTAGGATTTTGGACAACTGGCGCCATGCTGCAATTCGGGCGCCACTTTCAAATACTGCATTTTTCAGTTCTGCCCTCGGGG